AAAAAAAAAAAAAAAGAAAGAAAGAAAAGAAAAGAGACCAGTGGTGTCTTTTAACTATTTCTCTACCCCCTTTATAACATGTAAGCTTGTATTTCTATTTTAGAGGCTTAATGAGATTCAGGTTTTAGGTTTTGTTTTCTTTTGATTTGTTGACAGTACTTCATATGTGGTGCTGTGTACTTCCAACAGAGAATATATAATATCGAATTGTTTTGGGTTTTTTGTGCAAAATAAGTCATTAACATCCAGTCAGATTTCAACATGCTTTTCTGTTACCATGAATGACGTGATTATCTCATTTATTTAAGAGCCATTATTCACATTATTTATTCTAAACATGTTCTTAGACTACTTTTTCCTTCTGTGTGGCTGGAATATTTCTTATTGTTTATAGAAACTATCTAGGAAGAATGTTACCTTTCTCCAGTAGGTAACTTTCAATCCCTCCCTCCCTCCCTGATCTTCATAGCAGGCAGCCTGGGCTTTGTGGGTCCCAGTCACAGCGGCTCCTCATTCATAGCTTTTCTCACCAAGATTATTTCTGGTTTGGAGGATGCTTTCTTCATGTGATTTCTTGCCACCTGGACCATGAGGTCCCTGAGGGCAGGAAACCTGCCTGTCAGATTCCCACAATAGGAGCACTGCCTCATGTGACCTGGCACATGGTTAGTCGAAAGGACACTCTTACCCCATAAAAGGCATGTGACCATTGTTTGAAGCTCTGAGGGCTAAATGATGGTGGCCAGCACCAAAGAGCCTCTGTGAGCCTGATGGGATAGGCTGGGGACATGCTAGGAAGGTGGGGGTTGGGGCATAGTGTCACAGGCAGGATGTTTGTAAACCCACTGGTTGTGGATCAGGGTCCCTTGAGTGGAGCTTAGGATAGCAAGGAGGTGGCAATACCAGCATCTGGGAGGGCTGCTGATCAGGGACACCTAATCATTGTGTCTATTTCTCTGCCCACAGGTCAGGACCCTGCCAGCCCCATCCGAACCACACACACAGGGCAGGTGCGGGGGAGGCTCACCCACGTGAAGGGCACTGACGTGGGGGTCCACACCTTCCTGGGAATCCCCTTTGCTAAGCCACCTGTAGGGCGGCTGCGGTTTGCACCTCCTGAACCCCCTGAGTCTTGGAGTGGTGTGAGAGATGGGACCTCCTACCCGGCCATGTAAGCCCTTCCAGGATCTAGGGAGGTCTGTGGGGGGTTGGGGTACTCTGAGCTCAGCCAGGCTGCAATTGTGGTTTCACCAAAACTCTACAGCCAGTATTCCCTGTGGGTTTTCCTTCAGGGAAAGCTTGGAAGGCAGGAGCAACTTTCCCAGCCTCCTGGCTGAGGGCTTGGCACTCAGAGGGCATTAGCTCCAGGTGCTGAAGGGAGGAGCAGACACACATCCCCGCAGACTCTAGTTATGCCAACTGTTCTCTGCCACCAGGGGGCGGTGTCTCTGGGAGAGGTTCAGGTTGGTTCTATGACCCTTGTAGGAGACCCTGACTCTAGCAAGCAGATACTGTAGACCCCTGAGGAGAGCAGCAATGGTGGCTCCCTGGGGACCCCCACTATCCACAGTCCCTGTGTCAGCGAACAGGGCCAGGTGCCATTGGCCATGGGACATGTGTGTGCTCTTACAACTGAATACTGGAAATGATGAGGTTCCCTGAGAGTCTAAACTTGGACTGAGGGATGATCCGCTGCCCTTCCCATAAGAAATTAACATTCACTCATTCATGAGGTGCATGTTCCAGGCCTGAGTGGGTACAGGAATTCAGTGGTGAATGGGGGTTGGGGTACTCTGAGCTCAGTCAGGCTGCCATTGTGGTTTCACCAAATCTCTACAGCCAGTTTCCCTGTGAGTTTAGTGGTCTTCACACATGTAGGCATACAGCCAGTGTTCTCATAGAGACCCTTAAGGGTCAAGTTCCTAGCCTCAGGAGGAGTGATATCCAAGGTCCTCAAGTGATATCCAAGCCTAGCACAGTGGTACATGCATATAGTCCCTGCTACTAAGAAACGGGGGGTGAGGGGGAACCCTCAACAACCCCAAGAGCCAGACACAGTGGCCTATGCCTATAGTCCCATCTACTTAAGGGCTGAGGTGGGAGGATCCCTGAACCTAGGAGTTTGAAATCTCCCTGACCAACACATAAAGACCACATCTTTAAAAAAACAAAAATCTGCAGGGTGTGGTGGCTCACACTTGTAATACTAACACTCCGAGGATTGAGGCAAGTGGATCACTTGAGCTCAGGAATTGGAGACCAGCCTGAGCAAGAGTGTGTCTCTAAAAACTAGCCCAGCATTGTGGTGGGCACCAATAGTCCCAGCTACTTGGGAGTCTGAGACAAGAGAATTGCTTGTGCCCAAGAGTTTCAGGTTGCAGTGAACTATGATGCCATGGCATTCTACCAAGGGTGACAAAATGAGACTCTGGTCAAAAAAATAAATAAATAAAAATAAAGTTTAAAAAGCAACCTTGAAGACTCCCTGGAAGTCCCAGTTCCAACTCAGCTTCCCCAGAGCCTTTGTCCTGTAACTTGGTGGGAAGGGACTTTAGAGGAGGACCATGTGTGAGCAGGGTATCTGGGAGAAGGGAACTAAGGTGGCTCAGAGCAAGTTTTGACCTAGGGTCTCGATTCATGCACATATGGCCCCTGAACTGACTTTATGCCGTGGCCACCAGGTGTCTACAAGACCTCACTTCAATGAATGCAGGGGTTCAGAGCCTGTTCAACGTGACCATGCCTTCAATCCCCATGTCTGAGGATTGTCTGTACCTCAGCATCTACACACCTGCCCATACCCATGAGGGCTCAAACCTGCCTGTGAGTGTCAGGCCACACACAGCTGGGGGGTGGGAGGGCATTTTGTCTGCAGGAAGACTAGAAGGAGTAGTATTAGCTTGGGCCCCATAGCAGTGTGGACACTGGGCATGGGGTCACAGAGCATTAGCTACTCACAGAGGTCAAAGGGTGTGTCCCAGGGATTGACCCAGGACTCGCTCAGTGAACATATGCCTAGAAGACCCTTTTGGGTGCCTGACAGCTATACTTTGAGGTCATGAAAGACCCAGCAATGGATTATCAGTTAGGCCTACGAGAATGGAGGACGTTTTTGATTACTGTTCATATGGGACAATCTGAAAGACATCTCTTTTGTTTCCACCTCAGGGTTCTGTGAGCAATGGAGCCATGCTTTGATACATAAGTTTGGGAGGTCCAGTTTGGGGTCCCTTGCCCATGGCCCAGGTCAGGAGTCTTGCTGGAGTGCTTTCTGTATGGACAAGTGGACAAAGCAGTGGTTGGACTAGGTAGGAGCCCTGGTGGGGTTTGGGTTGGGAAGGAGCCACACAGTATGTGCCTTGATTTCCCCAGGTAATGGTATGGATCCATGGTGGTGCGCTTGTCATGGGCATGGCTTCCATGTATGATGGTTCCATGCTGGCAGCCTTTGAGGACGTGGTGGTGGTCACTATCCAGTACCGCCTGGGTGTCCTGGGCTTCTTCAGGTGAGATTGGGGTTGGACTGGGCAACATGGGCTGAATGGATAAAGGACAGCCTGTAATCCCTGTCTCTGACACTGCTCAGCACTGGAGACAAGCACGCAACTGGCAACTGGGGCTTCCTGGATCAGGTAGCTGCTCTACGCTGGGTCCAGCAGAATATCATCCACTTTGGAGGCAACCCAGACCGTGTCACCATTTTTGGCGGGTCCTCAGGTGGCACAAGTGTGTCCTTGCATGTTGTCTCCCCCATGTCCCAAGGACTCTTCCATGGTGCCATCATGGAGAGTGGTGTGGCCCTGCTGCCTGGTCTCATGGTCAGCTCATCTGACAAAGTCTCCATGGTGAGTGCCCTCAGTCCTGGAAGCCCAGATGTGCTGCCTTGTCACCTCTCTCTCAGAGCCTCTGTCTATTAAATGGGGACAGCAAGGACCATTGGGGTGCCCTGGAAACTGCTGCCTTTCCTTGATTGCTGAAGTGCTCCATGGTCAGAACCCACACAGCTCTGCCATTGCAGGCTAGGTACATTCTGTAGCCTACAGAGCTACCACCTTGCAGGTCCCCATCATGGGCAGAATCATGGAGGAGGTTGAAACACTTTCAAAACTGCAGGAATCAACACACAATGCTCCATGAGATTTGGGGTGTCGCTTGGGCCTTGGGCCTCTCCCTTACCTGGAAGGTTGAGCCAGCCAGCCCCTGGTCCCTTTACAGATGGTGGCCAACCTGTCTGCCTGTGACCAGGTTGATTCAGAGGCCCTGGTGGGCTGCCTGCGGGGCAAGAGTGAAGAGGAGATTCTGGCTATTAACAAGGTGCGGCTAAAGGGATATGGGAGTGGATGAGAGGGCAGGTGGGGTGTGGGGCAGCAGGCAGGATATCCTTTGTACGTCCTGAGCAAGTTACCCCATCTGCATGCCTTGGTGTCCTCATGGCCCTGGATGAAGTGGAGGCCAGGGTGTGCTAAGCCTGGGGCAGGGTCTCCCAGGGTGGACAGGAGCATCCTGGCCTGAGCCAAGAAGGGGTAGAGGTACTCAGAGGGTATCAGCAAATGTCAGCTAGCTAACCTTCCTCCCTGACCTTGAATGCCTCTCAGGCCTTCAAGATCATCCCCCGTGTGGTAGATGGGTCCTTCTTGCCCAAGCATCCTGAGGAGCTGCTGGCCTCAGCTGACTTCCAGCCTGTCCCCAGCATCATCGGGGTCAACAATGATGAGTATGGCTGGCTCATCCCCAAGGTGAGGTCCAGCCCTAAGCCCTCATGTGCCCAGGGAGTCCATCTGGTCACAAGTTGGGGGTGGCCTCAGGGCTCGGTAGTTCTAGGCCAATCCCATCCCCAACTTATGGCTCTCTCCCCACCACCTAGGCCATGGGCATCTATGAGCCCTGGAAGGAAACACACAAAGAGGCCTGGAAAGATATTCTGCAGAAAATGTACCAAGTGTTGGTGAGGCTCCTGAGATCCTGCCCCAGTAGAAAGGGAGGGACTTTTCTCCTCCCTGAGGTGGGGAAACCAAGATATCCTGCCTTGAGGAAAAACCAGGGTATGTGCATGTTTGGGGGGATCACCTCAGAGTTTGGCCATTTGCCCCCATTCCCTGACCCATCCCACAGCCTACCTCCCCAACCCTAAGGCTTCTGCCTCCCTGCCCCTGGCAGTGGCCTAACCTGCCTCTTCTTGATCCTCCTGAGCAGATGTTGCCTCCTGAGTCTAGTGGTCTGTTGTTGGAGGAGTACATGGGGGACAGTGGGCATCCCCAGTACCAGGAGCTTATGGAGGACTGCTTCTTTGTGATCCCTGCACTCCGAGTAGCACATTCTCAGCGTGAGTATGTTTATACCTGACCCCCGACTGGCAAGGCAGCAGCTCAGAGCTGGGAGTCCCAGGTGAGGTCTGTCAGTGTCCACATCCCCACCCACATCTTTATGGGACCCCTGGAAACTGGGCTTTTTTTTTTTTTTTTTTTTTCTTTGAGACGGAGCCTCAAGCTATCCCCCTGGGTAGAGTGCCATGGCATCACACTCACAGCAACCTCCAACTCC